ACAACCCACACACCAAAATTCACACAGACATACACTCAAACACATGCATAGATACACACCCACACGTATGCATACATACAAATACAAATGTAAAGTTGTGCAAACACACATGCACACATAAGCACGCACATACTCATACACACGCACATACACATAACACACACTCTTCCTGTCCTTGTTTCAAGACTACTTTGAAGTAAATTAGATGTAAGGCTAGTTTTGAAGTAAATTAGTAAGAAACATATCTTCGAGGAAATAATCTATCTTGCATGATTATTCGTACCATCTAAATTTAAAAATAAAAATTCAAATAATAAAAAAATGAGATTGATAGGTAAACATAAAATGCTAAACTTAATGATTAAAAGCTGAAGTTTATGGTTGAAGAAAACAAATTTAGCAACTGCGTCTATTCTAGGTAATATTTATTGTTTAATATTCATGTATAATTAAATAATTGAACAAATTTTATCAATATATGTTTTGCTTTGATTATTATGAGAATAAGACAGCTACAAATTTAGTACAACCAAATATCTCTGCTTAATATTATACAAACTAAAAACCGTATATTTTAGCGTGCATATTGGTCGATATATAATGTACTCACTGTTGATATGATTACAGTAAAGAACAGTAATGAATTGAGATAGAAATCGAAATTACTTGAATATTTTTTATTATATTTGAAGCATAAATTAAACTTATGTAATTGATAAGTGATAGAGAAGTACAAATATGCATTTAGTAAGCTAAGAAACTCTACTCGATAAAAACATGACTTTCTGAAACACTTTCATTGTCGAGTTCAAAAGTAACAGAAAATGACAAATTAGACTATAATACATTTCAAAGTAGCTTTGACAAGCATACCATCAATATCTACAAACAGTACTATGACACATTCAAATTATTATTACCATCACTTAACAAATTGCGATTTTACGGTAGTTCTTCTGCTTTTGTTATCTCTATGTAAATAATGATGTTATATGGAAGTACTTGCGTGCAAACTTTTTTGTAATATTAGAATATTAGTTGAAAAAAAAAACTGGAAAAATGTATGACGTTTATGCCATGAAAACTGATAGAATAAAAATTATATTTAATGAAATGTTGCTTTTTTAGCTCGTTTACATTATTTCTGAAATATAAAATAGAAGAAAGTACGAACGAATAATGGAAGGAATACAAAAAGTCAGAATGACTGTATAGTTTTGTAATGCTATAAGAAATTTCAATAATTTTTAGCAAATCATGGCTCTTTTTCGTGCTAACAATCATTTCTCATATCAAATTTGCACAGATCAATTAAAAATAATAGAAACTTTCAAGTACTTACATAATATGCCAACTTTAACTTATTTTAACTGAGAAACTGAATATGCAAATATGTGTGATACTGTCAGTTTTAAGATAATTTGTTGCCTACATAATTCATTTTATTTTTATAGACTTGTTTTCAAGCGGTTGGAGGAATTTCAGCTTCAAATGATCAATTCTTTGCACTACTTTGTTCCTCCTTTTAATTTCAGGATATTCTCATTAAAAACATTATAGGTCATTTCTGTAATTTGTCGTGAAATTTGATGCTTAGAGAGAAAACAGATTTGAAGGAAAAGTTTTTATTCAAAATAGTTTTTCAAATTTTAATTTAAAATGATTGATCTTTATGAGTTACTGCTTTGGTTTTGCATTGGATAAGTGACTTAGTGGGATTTTCGATAATTTATTCATAATACAATTTTGTGACTGAACCATATAGGGACAATAAATCATAATTTCATGAAGATTATAAGTGATAACAATTTTAAGAAAAATATATAGGTCACAAATATCTTGAAAAGAGTTATGAGTTATTATATTATCACAAAAATTATGATGACCTTGCCTAGATCACGAGGTTGGCAATGTTTAAGAGCATAAGTTTTAGCAAAAAGTAATTTTCTCGAGCTTTTTTTACGTGTCGTTCGTTATATTTTAAATTTAATATAATACTGTTTTATACTTCAGCATGTTTATGCAGCAGAAAACGTTGAAAAATGCTGAAGAGGGTACTGAAGGTGTTAGAAACCCTAATATACCGGATGAAGAAGCTAATAATCAATTCAAGGTTTCTGATTTGCAAACATGTGGGAAATACATAGCGTTTTTGTCAGTGGTATATTTTCTCATGGCATTATCCCAAGTTTGCAATCTGCTTTTTATGACATTTGCTGGTTTGTGGAATACTCCTATTAATTTATTTATCCAAAAATACTGATAAGCAATATAACATTACTTAATAATTTCACGTAAAAAAGAAATCTGTCATCAGCGGAAATGATAATTTAAACCAAATCAATCCACAAAATTTTCATAAAAAATAGCGGATCAATTATTTTCTGAAAAAATTATGCAAAAATCAAGCTTCATATTGACATGAAATTTAAACTCTAAGACGATCACAAAGCGGAAGAGGGATAATTAAAAGTGAAATATAATAATGAATATACATTATATTTTGATAAAGAAAATAACTTGAAATATTATGGTAATCTGAAACTCTTTGAAGTTATTAATTCTATGCAAAGACCACGGAAAGCTTACGAAAAAATTATTACTAATGTCCAAAAAATTACTGAAACGGAAAATTCTTGAATACAGATGAGCAAATGACATCAGATATGATTTTCCTGATTTTCAACAGATCGCAAACCACAAGTGGAGGATTATTGTGAGAAAATTTATCCCAAATACACCTCTACAAAAACATGCAATGTTACTCACTGCTGGATCAGAGCAGGCAATCCACCACAAAATAAAATATGCGCAACCAAGTCTTATGATTTTATTCCTATCAGATATGATGTAAGTTTCTTTTTAACAGTTTTAGTAAAATGCAGAAAGCCTGCATAAATTCGACTACTGTTTCGAAGTATTTTATCACACCAAGTAGCAATCAATAAGGATAAAGCATCGAATTCAGTAACAGATGCGTCAATTTCCTTTACTCATTTCTGTTGCCGTTCCTGAAGTATGCATTCAACAAAGTATTACCTAAGCATAGCTGCCTGAATTTCAGTTCGATGTTCCATTAGAATACGTTAAACTTGGCACAACAATGCAAAATGTCGGATTAATGATTGGAGCCATTGTAGCTGGCAATTTAGCAGATATCTATGGCAGGAAAAAGGTGACCAAAGCATTATTGCTGTCACGCATTTCACGTCAATAAAAATTTTCTATTTTCTGATTTCTTATCCAACGAAGGTCTTTTATTTTTTCACATTTATAGAATTGGTAATATCCGTGAAAAACGTGCACATTTCTTGTAAAACTAAAATAACTCTCGCGCAAACTTTCAAACATTTTTCAGCGATTATTTATAAATATTCAGGTACTGTTAACAGCTACTGTAGGATTAATAGTATTTCTTGTTGTGACCCCACTTTCGCCGTCTTTTGCTGTGTTTACTATACTTCGCTTTTTCGATATGCTATTTACAGGAGGACAGCACTGGTGAGTTACGATTACTGTTATGTTTCTATTTCAAATGACAGTTTTTGCTGCCATCTAATTCAGAGTTCGCACAGAAACACTGCACTGCTCAATCACTTCTGAAAATATTTTAGATCCCGTCCAACGCAAAAGTTTACAACTTTCAACATGATTTCAGTGTTTGCAACCCTTTTTTTATGGAAAATTTGCCCGACAAACACCGAATGTGGATGGCTAACGTAATTACATATTCACCAAATTACATTATCTTGTCAGGCATTGCCTACCTTTGTAAGCAATGGAAAACTTTGTCGTTGGCAGCGGCCGGCATTTCAGTCATTCCTTTAATTACTTTGCCGTAAGCTATAAGTTCGCCTATTTGGTCTATCTGTGCGTAAAGTTGCTTCAGTTGAATATTTCTCAAAAACTGATAACAAATTCATAAAGGCTGAATCATTAATTTATAATAGAATACTGCACAAATTTCAGATTCCTTAAAGAATCACCACGCTGGCTAATTAAAAAAGGTAAAAGTGATGAAGCACTAAAAGCAGCCGCATATATCAGAAAATGGGATCACCAAGACTCACCTGAAATGGAGCAGAAAATTATTAGTGTTGTGAAGAAAGCTGCGGAAGATGAAGTGTGTCTGATCCAATATTTTGCGCACAAAATGATTCAGTACACCTGTATCATATTGTATTTTTGATTTGTAGTCGATATTACACTCAATTATTTCTCTACATGAACATTGAGATTCACTGTTTACAGCAAGAGAAGAAGAAAAAAGGAGGAAAAAATTATTACGTTTATCACTTATTCAGCGATTGGAATCTTGGATGCTACACTTTAGTATTTGCTACTAGCTTGTAAGTTTCTGCTTTTAATGTTTTTTTTAACTAGCACTAGAAGACCAGCAAAAGCAGCATCACTGATTTTTGTTCAACTTACATGCGATGGTGATCGTATTAATTTTTAGGTTTTCTGCAAGTTTTGTAAGTTTCGGTGTTGCTTACAATATGGATGCTCTAGCTGGTACGGTCTATATTAATGTAATTATTTTGGGATTCCTTCGATGGGGCATTAATATTACGGCTGCTAGCTTAGAATACTTCTTTGAAAATATCGGAAGACGATTACTTCATCTTGTTGCTGTAGGATTCATAGCTACTGTCATGGGAGTAACTTTCATAATTTATCGTCTTACATGTAAGTTATAAATTAACACAATTGAAAAAGATAAGATTAAGGTAAGTGTGTAAGATAATCTTATAAGTTAATGTAAAAGATTTTTGATCTAGAAGAACTAAGATAGTAGACAGTTCCAAACATTAAAGTTGTGACAGAATGCAATCGACTTTTCCAACAAGGCGATTTTTTCTTTCAAAGAAGTACGGTCATTAATCTTTTGATGGACTGACATTTTATTCATTCTTGAAAAAAATCGTAGCTTTTGAATTTTCAAGAATCTAAAAATAGTTTATAGGGCCAAAAATCGATGCCTACAAAGCAGCTGTAAAGGCAGGGGAAAAAGGTATATGAATTTACTCTATTTGATGCATCTCACCTTTCTGAAATATGTGTGATACCACAGCATTTGATTCGCTACACTATATCTGAACTGATAAAAGATGGATCAAGCAAATTTCCAGATGTTTGAATAATGTTTTGGCTTTCTCACAGACCGCACAGAATACATTTGTCATCTATCCTATTTATTACATTTTCAGGAGATCCATCAATTCACTCAATCGTCCTGTTCACAAGATATGCTTGTCTTCTAGCAGCTGCAATGTGCAGTGAAGTATTTGTTTTGAATGCTGTTCAACCGTCTGAGCTATTTCCAACACCAGTTCGAAGTGCAGGCATTGCATTCATTCAAATTTTCAACCGACTTGGCACAATTGTCGGTCCACTGGTGTTCATACCAGTCAGTTGCTATACCAATTATTCACATAGTTTATGTCTTCTTTTTAGAGTACTCAAAATATTAGAATAAGTCATAAGGTCATAGGTCAAGTTATGCGAACACAGAGTTTGCTCTGTGTGTCACTATCATTTCTGTTTCAAACTAATCCCACTCTAGAGAAAGACATATATATACCCTCGGAAAAAGTGAAAATGATAAATTACAATCGTTACAGAGTAAGCACTGGCCACCAGCGCCTTTCTTACTGATGTTCATAACGAGCAGCGCCGATTTCCTATTGTATTTCTTATTGGTGCCTGAAACTCGGGGCAAAAGACTACCCGACCACATGCCTGGAGAATATCCAAGTGATGAAATGGCTGCTCTAAGTTCAGAAGCACTTAAGTCAGAGAAGAGATTTGCAAGGAGTAAAATACATAGGAAAAAGACTAAGAGCAAAGGAAAAGTTATCGAAAAGGATGACAGACAAATACACAAGGATGTCAGAAAAAAAGAGAGTGGAGGAAGTAAAAAAGAGATAAGAGAAGGTGTTGAAGAGAAGAAAACAATTGAGAAAGAGACTGAGAAAGAAGGAAAACAATCTGCAAGTAGTCTACGCAGCAAACAGCAAGGATAAAAGGGGGAAAGTTGTATACTTCAAAGTATAATCAAAAAATTGTCAATTTTTGACTTCAAATTACTGCAGTTTCTTAAATTTTAGATAGATAAGTGAATGAATAAATGTTTGGTTTTCTACTTCAGTCAGTGACAAAAATTCAAAGTTTGATTCACGTCATAGAATTAGAATTTTATTACGGCTCTAAACAGTGCATAACAGTAACACACGTACTCAGTAATGCGTGTGTCTATATGTATGGTTTGTTCGTGTACAGTCAATGATGTACCATGCACTCATCATCTCATATTTGTTATGTATGATTTGGCAGAGAGATGAAATTCACAAAACATGCTACTTAATGACCTTAAAAGAATGGGAAAAAATCAGCCCTAATATGTCGGTGTTTTTCTCGCTTCACAGATTTCACACATCTGTCAATCAGATTCTTATATATTGTCCTTCATAACATCTTAACAAGTCAAAAAAAAATCTCATCATTGATCATATTTAGAAAACGAAAGTAAAAATATGTGTGCAATAAATTTCATAAGCTCCCAACCCACTACGAATGCAATTTAAGTAATACTTAGATTCTAGTGGTATTCAAGATATAAAATTAAGAACTCTAAATCGAGCGCAAATTCTATTCAAAGTAACATCAATGTGGAAAAAAGAAGCTTAAGTACACTAGGAACACTAGCTAGAATTCTCACTATGATGTCAAATTGCAAGCATGTTGTTAGAAATTGATTATTTTGCAGGTTGGTTTATGTAAGGTTTTTGATGTCGAAAGCGTTTAATCAGCTAGTCAAAAGAAGGAATCATATTCTCAAATTTAAATACACGAACTGATTCAAAAGCTTCAAACATAAGACAGCATATTCAGAATTCTACTCATAAAGCAAGAAAAGTTGAAAAAAAATTTCCATTTTAACTGCTGAGCAATGCTACTTTCATTTAACTTCAAATTTCATAACCACTAACTCCTAATTTCCTCGCATAATTAAGTTATCTTATAAACTTAAGCCATAGTTATCACAACTTATTAAAGAGCTATCTTCGTTACACTCAGTGAAACGTGAGGGCAAGAACGGACATGAATGATGCTGTAGTAAATTTCAAACTGGATATTGTACACGTACATTTATTTTGACGCATACACAAAAATAAACAATGCAGACAGGCATTAAAATTTTGCATTAAAGAAGATAAAAAAATAGTTCTCAAATTCACATTTGGTCTGTGATATCCATTCGTAAACTTAATTAATAGCATTTGCCTTAATGCTTTAAAAAATTTTAAGCGATTAAAAATCTTCAATACATTACCTTTTATATAACTTTTGAAATTTTAACAGAAATTCAGAAGAGGTCGACAAGGAAATTAATCCTCATAGAAATTGAAAGAATGTGAGAAGATCCCCATAAAGATTCACCAAATGTTTTACAAATTTCCTAGCTATAAATCATTCGCTTCGTTTTCAGTAGCAAGGCTTTTTTTTTCCTTCAAATTTTTTCTCTTTCACGAATTAGACTTTCTGCCTGATGCTTCGTTTTTTCTCTTCAGTGACTCTGTGTTTCTCTTCAAATGCCTACTTTCATTTCTACTTGATATTGTTTCTTTCTTAGCTGTAATGCTTCTAACTGATACCAAAAAGAGCAGCAAAAAAAATTTTGTAATGTTCAAATTTTTCAATAAACAAATAAAAACACTGATGAAAATTTGAAATATTTATTGAAAAACTATCTAAGTGACATATTCTTAGCTGGGACATTCTCTCTATGCTTAAAACTTTAAGAAACAAATATTAGATTTTTTTGAAACCTTCCGGTATTTTTAAACTTGTATTTCCTTTTTTAAAAAAAACAATTCGATTTCTTATCACAATCAAATGAAGAATAATCTGTTATTGTATATGAAACTTTAATTACCTCTTAAGTAAGAACTAGCATTTTTACCTCTTAA